AAATAAAATGCACGAGAATCTCAAAATAGGTGATGATGTCATAGCTATTGTATCGGAATTTAAATACTTGGGTACCACAATAGATGATCAACTTAAATGGAACAGTAATACACTTAAGCTATACAAGAAAGGGCAAAAACGCCTACATATGATGCGTCAATTAAGTAAATTTAAAATTGACACCAAAATTATCGAATTGTTTTATACTTCAATGATATCCAGTATAACATATTTCTGTTTGATCGTCTGGGGTGGTAATCTTAGTACTAAAGACCAAAGTCTTCTTGGTAGAATCACACGTAGAGCAAGTAAGATTGCTTCAACAAATTTATGTGATATTAAATCTAAATACGAAATTGCTGTTTTAAATATGGTCACACGTATTCGATCCCATCCCCTTTTTCAAGAATATCAATTCCTTCCCTCATCACTTCGCTTTCGATCACATTACACCCGAACCAGCCGATTCAGTAAATCATTTATTCCTACTTCAGTTAAATTTTTTAATAATCAGGTGTCTAGGTAAATGTTAAATTCTTCTATTTTTTTTATCTTTTTATATATATTTATATATATATATATATTTTTTTTTTTTGAAATTCGATTTATTGTATATAGACTATTTAATGTAATTCTTTGTAATAATAATATTTATCTTTCTAATATAATTCTTTTTGATATTATGAATTTTAAATTTTCCCTTTTGTACATTGTATTTGAATTTGATATTTTTCAATTTTGCATGTTTTTTGATATTGTCCGTTTTGATGTTCTTTGATGTTTTGATATTCTATATGTTTTTTATATTAATTGTAGTGTACTAAAGATAATTTTCTGATATATTTTATATTAGACCCAATAAATGCTGTGGATAGCAGCGCATTCATTCATTCATTCATTCATTCCTGGTGCTTTTAAATATTATTACACCAGTTTTTAATGATACCTAATTAAGCACATACCCAGCCCCTTGTGTGATAAGGCCTACAGTCACTTCAAAATTTGCATGCATGAAATAAATCAGTGTATTGACACTCGAACCCCTTACCCACATAAACTCTTGGTTGGTGAAAGACAGAGCAGCTTATAGCTCAGTTGGCTAAACTGACGGTAGCCACTAGTGTGTGTACTGAATCCTATAGAGATATCTAAGTCTCCGGTTCAATTCCCATCGCTGCACTCCTCCTTGTGTTTCAGCTAGAGGTCTGATACAAGTTACGATAGCGCATCGTCTTGCGGATGAGACGTTTAAGCCGTTGGTCCCATGTGCATTAAGGCCCGTATGTACGTAAAAGAACGCAATACACTATTCGGAAAAGAGTAGGGGTTTGTTTCCCGGTGTACTGCCCAATCACCACTAGAAAGACCGCAGTGAAAATAAGTTCGCTACCTCAAGGTAGAATCCCACAACTGTTGCGCCCAGCGACTTCCACCATGTCAATTTTTATCAAGAAATATTTACTCGTTTTAAGATTTATATGATTAACCCACTAAGTCTAAAGACTTGTAAATGCGGTAGGAACTGGATAGCACACCAGAAGACAATCCCCTACTCCATTCTAAATAGTGTACTCCGTTATTTAACATGCACAAGGGCCATATTAAACACGGGACAAATATCTTAAACGTACGTAATGTATACTTAGTCATTCGATATACTTATTGTCATACTTATTTTACTTCCATAATTACATTACTAATATATGACAAAACAAAAATTAAAAAAAAAAAAATGAAAAAAAAAAAAAAAGGCCACGCAATACCTGGCCCTGGTAAAAAAAGGCCACGTAAAAGTGGTCCTCTTTAAAATGGTCCTTGAAAATTGGCTCTAAAACGGCCAAAGTAAATCAATATAGCAACCATCAGCTGAAAAATGACTCCCAATTCGCAGAAACGTAAAGATCTACAATCTTTATCTTTGTTGTTTTATTATTTGTCTTATTACTGTAATTCAAATACGTTCGTTGTTTATTACTTAACCACAATCGATTCCATTCTAATGATCACTGTAATCAGAAGTTGCTACTGGTTGGTACTACATGCAGGCTATTGCCAACGGTGTTAAATGTCAAAAATTATTGTAATTAATTTGTTTATGTGCAGCCATTGGCGGTTGCTACTCGAATTACCCTCGCAACGTTCTGCATATATTTTTTACAATTGACAATTAACTTATACATGAGCAAAAAATAGTGTTAGCCGAATGAGATTAAACGCATCGATGGTATAATAACCATACGCTTAAAGGGGAAGTTTACTAAGAACTGTTAGAGAATACTTACTTAGCTAACGAATCTCGTGCGTGCGTGCTCGTGGCGTAGAAGATGCCACCAAACAGTATAATAGAAATGTTTTTTTCCCTCTTTGATGTCACCTATATTGGTTTTTTTTTGTGGTTACGTCACGTGTACATCTGTTAATTCATTACGTTCAGCTTAAATTTTAAACATGTCTCCAATACTCAAGTACAATGAGTTCTGGCCGTCTAAAGATTTAATAAAATCATTCTCATTGTGAAAATGTTAATTTGTATTTATCTTTTACGAAGACCATTCTCTACAGTAGCACTAGTACTCCATCAGAGTGTTCGCAACACGTAAATAGCACTCCACTTCCTTGTGTCTAGCAACAATAAACATCGCGTAGTATAATGCACGGTAATACGAAGTTGTTTTTAACTACTAAGCGTAATTGTTTGGTTTAAAA